CTTTGAGGAGAGCAAGCGTGACACCAATGAGCGGAGAGAACCTCGATGATGTGGTCAGTACTTAATTTTGTAACACCATAAATTTTGGGTTCAGGTTCGACCATAATAAATGAGCGGTTGGTTTGACGGTTACGTACGAAAAGATCAAACCAAACTAGGTAATAATTACTATTATTATTATTAATAATTGTTAGTATTATTATTATTAATTATGCACCAAAGCAAACGCAAACATTAGGCCGGAGAAAACCCTAGACCCCTCTAACCCGAGGCGCACCGTAAAAAGAAATCCCAATCGGTCTCCCATTACCGTCGATGTGCTTCCCTCCCACAAGCATACAAGCGTCCATTGTTGGCCTTCTGGCGACGTGGAATTGGAGCAGTGCACTTACCATCTTCTTCTCCACCAAAGAGGAAACCATCGCCATGACATGGTTGCAGAGGAAACCATCGCTAGTGAAGTTTTCAGTCACCGAGCGGCTGATTAGATGGCAATTGTGTTGTAATGCCACGCGCAGCAGGTTGCAGCAAATTATCGTTCAGTGATCAAAAAGGGGAGTTGGCGGGACTAGAGGGAAGAATTATTGGGCCATATTATCATTGGTCTCGGGATAAGCGAGGTCAAGCAAAGGAAAAAGTTAAGGTTTTTTTTTAAAGGTTGTTCATTAAGAATACGACTGGGCCAAGTCTAAATGGAGAAATACAAGTAGAAATAGTGACCAGACATGAAAATCCACAACAAAGAGGCCAAAAATATGCGGCCCAGAACCCAATAGGACCCGGACCCGGGCCAAAACATGTCAAGACTCCCAAACCCTAGCCGCACATCCCCACCCCTCTGGATCCGCCACCGCCGCAGTCGAAAACCACCACCGCTGTTTAGCCACCCAACCGACGTCGCCACCGCCGCCAAGCACCAAAACAGGGGATCGATTCTCGCCGACCTCGGAAGGAGGGCCGAGGAAGAGAACCTCCCACCAACCCACCCGGAGCCGGTCTCCTTCAGCCTCCCGCCGATTGAACCCGGGACAACATCATCCGACCGGTCGACGACGAAAGAACCAGAGGGAAAGATACTTCTGTCTTCAAGCTTTCCCCTCCGAGTCCGACGCCAGTGGCTATATCTCCGACTAACCAAGATCTGCAAGGAAAGAAAAGGAGGTAGAGATGGGAGAGAAAAGGAGAAGACAAGCCAGATCAGGATTAGATCTGGCCTCCATCGCATCTTAGATCAGGCCACCATCTCCAGATCTGGGTAGCAGATCGGAGGACAAAAAAACTCAACCCACCAGAGGGGGGAGGAAAGGAGTGTTAGCAAAGCTAAATAAACCGAAAACTGAATGAGATGAACACACGGATTTAACGTGGTATCCCTGGAATGCCAGAACTAATCCACGGGAGAGGTTCACTCTCCAAGACAAAAATCGTACTATATTAGCTTGGGTTTCTCGGCAGAGTACAAGAGAATATATATATGGTTTGTAACCCTAGCATCCGTACGTCTGCATGCCTAGGGTTGCATGGGCTTGGGCCAACATTCACTCAAATCTCCGTGACCCATTTTGACGACCCAATGTACACTAACAACCTCCCCCAAATTGATGCCGGGAACGAAGCATCAATTTGCTTGAGAGGTACCAATGACGACTACCGGTGAACGGTTTAGTGAAAATATCTGCAATTTGTTCCTCCGTCTTGAGATACTGAAGTTGTACCGTACCTTCGCGCACCAAATCCCGAACATAGTGTACATGAAGCTCAATGTGTTTCGTACGATCATGGAGAACCGGGTTAATCGCAATCTGAATGGCACTCGTGTTGTCCACCAAGACGACGATGGGCAGAGTGCACGTCACCCCGAGATCACCCAGTAAACGGTGCAGCCAAACCAGCTCCGAACAAACATCAGACAGAGCCCTGTACTCAGCCTCCGTCGATGACTTGGACACTTTATCTTGTTTCTTGTATCGCCAGGAAATGAAAGAGCCCGCAAATTGTACACACCAGCCCGTGGTAGACCGCCGCGTGTCAATACATCCTGCAAAATCTGAATTGGAGAAAGCACGAAGATCAAGAGAGCCCGTCGATGGAAAGAACATCCCAACCTCTTGAGTACCTTTCAGGTACCGCAGTATCCGATGGGCCGCCGCCAAATGATCACGATGCGGCGTCGCCATGAACTGGCTAACCATCTGCACTGCATATGAAATGTCAAGTCGGGTGGCAGCTAAGTAAATGAGACTCCCCACCAAGCTACGATAACGGGATCTATCCCCATCGGATAATGGATCGTCTGAATCCCGTCGTAACTTCAAGTTCAGCTCCATTGGGGTACTGACAGGATGACAGTCTTCAAAATTATGATCACTCAATAAGTCCCCAATATACTTCCTTTGGCCGATGAAAATACCCTGGTCATGGCGAGTGATCTCAAGCCCGAGAAAATATGACAAGTCGCCTAAATCCTTCAACCTGAACGCCTCGTGAAGTCCACGTTTTAGGGAAGCTATCCCCCGAGTATCGTCACCTGTGACCACCATGTCATCAACATACAGTAGGAGAACAACAATACCTGCCGCCGTAGTCTGAGTGAAAAGAGACGGATCACTCAAGCTCTGTCGCATCCCCAGTTTCTGAACCGTGGTCTGAAATTTCTCAAACCAAGCTCGCGGAGCCTGTTTGAGTCCATACAACGACCGATGCAGGGGACATACCTGACCTGGCAAGCCAACGTTGTATCCGGAGGCTTCCCCAGATATACCACCTCCTTTAAGTCACCGTGCAAGAACACGTTCTTGACATCAAGCTGATACAACGGCCAATGACGTACAGAATCCACAGCCAGAAGAGTACGTACTGTCGCCATTTTAGCCACCGGGGCTAACTTCTCGTCAAAGTCTATCCCTTGTTCCTGTGTGTAACATTGCGCGACAATCTGGGCTCGATGTCATTCAATTTCCCCATCAGGGGTCATCTTCAGAGCATATAACCACCGAGAACCTATAACAGGAACCTCCGGAGGGGGCCGATCCACCACCGTCCACGTCTTATTTGCATGCACAGCATCTATCTCAGTTTGCATAGCCGCCTCCCACAACGGATCATCCTGTGCCTCCTTATACCGAGTGGGGACTACAAATGCATCAACCCCGTATGCAAAATAGTCATTAAATCTGGGTGGCGGCTGACCTCGAGTGGTGCGAAGAGAACGTCGCAATTGGGGAGGAGGTGACTGCGGAGGAGAACCCCCGTCCGCAACGGACGAATCCGACGAGGCTGAGGATGAGTGTGACGTCGCTGCATGGGACCCCGATGCATGGGACGTGGACGAAGAGGAAGCAGCAGTCGAAGGACCAGGCGAGTCCAGCTGCAGGCTGTCGGACGAGGCTGGGGTTGTCACGTCCGGTGTGGGGGGCATGCTCGGCAGAGGAGAGGGCGGGTCTTCAGGGGGCAACAATCCATCATCAGGTCCAGTATCATCATCATCAAAACAAGGCAACTCAGACATGGGATGGAACAAGGTAGTGTCGAGCTCAACAGAAGAAAAAAACTTAAAATTTTCAAAGAAAACAACGGTGGCAGCAATGCGCACACGTTGGAGACTCGGATCGTAACAAATGTACCCTTTGTGTACATCGCTGTACCCAAGGAATGCACATCGAGCTGTCTTCTGAGTTAACTTAGTGCGTTCCTTCCGTGGCATAAGCACAAAGCACAAACACCCAAAAACTCGGAGACGAGAATATTCAGGATGACGGGAATGCAAAGCAAAGAATGGGCTAACATTCTGAAGAACATGAGTGAGTTGATAATTTATAAGACGGACATCGATAGCGACAGCCTCAGGCCAGAAACGAGAAGGAACCTTTGACTCAATGAGGAGGGCACGAGTTAGGTCAAGCACATGTCTGTTCTTACGCTCAACTAACCCATTTTGTTGAGACACACCAGGGCAAGATTTTTGACACAAAGTGCCAAGAGATCGATACAAAGCCATCAACGGATTCGAACTGAACTCTCCGCCAGGATCAGACCGAAGAATTTTAACAGGTTTACTGAGCTGAGTTTGCACCATTTTCAAAAACTCTTCTGCTACGGCCTTAAGATCCGATTTTAGGCGCAGAAAATAAACCCATGTGAATCTAGTAGCATGGTCAATAAAGAGTGCAAAATATCGAAATCCATGTCGAGAAAGAACAGACGACGGACCCCATAGGTCAGAATGCACAATATGAAATGGTTCAGAAATCACCGTCGAACTAGAAGGAAACGATATACTTATAGTTTTAGCCTCAACACAACTGGTGCAATTATGTTTAGATGATGAGGAAACAGTGTGCTTGCCTAACAAAGATTGACGAAACATTTGCAACAACCGACTAGAGTTAGGGTGACCCAAACGCGAATGCCACAAATCCCAAACATTATTTGACTCACTAGGACCACTTGAAAAACTAGACACCAAAGGACTACTGACAAGCCTACTAGTTTCGGAGACAGGAGATGACGATGATGCTGATGTACTGATGAGTTCTTCTAACTGAAATAACCACCCCCGCTTACTCCCTCTGCCGATTTGCCTCCCCATCTTCAGGTCCTGCACAACACAGCCAGACGGTGTGAACGTAACCTAGGTTAGTCGCCCGCTAGAGACTCAGATTGAGAGGGACTGAAGACCTTTAGTCGAGACTTCAGGCTGTTTAAGAACCTTCCGCAGTATAACTTTCATAGAAACTGAACTTGGTAATTACAATCCGGCTTAACTGCAGTCTAGGGGGAACCATATCCGGGTGACCTCTTTAACCTGAATACAACCAGTTTACTTGCTTTGTTTGTTTGGTAGTTTAGACTTGCACTCCAGTTTTATTGCTAGATAACAAGAACTCACTGAGTAGTCAGCAAATCTAGGACCCGGGTTGATAATTAAACCTAAACCCGCTATACTACGCTTTAGGAAGTGGTTACACTTGGCCAATTCCTGGAGTGACAGTAGAGTCGAGTCACTCTTCTATCTTGGCAGCTGAGATTCCCGCACTGTTCCCGTCGGCCAGCTGCGTGGAGTAGGCCGCCGAGCGATCAGAGCGACGATTTTCTGAGCGAGGCTGCTCCTGGTGGGTGTCCGATGATGCCATCTCAGCATGCAACCCTAGGCATGCAACCCTAGGCAGAGCGATGTTAGTGTACATTGGGTCGTCAAAATGGGTCACGGAGATTTGAGTGAATGTTGGCCCAAGCCCATGCAACCCTAGGCATGCAGACGTAGGGATGCTAGGGTTACAAACCATATATATATTCTCTTGTACTCTGCCGAGAAACCCAAGCGAATATAGTACGATTTTCGTTCAGCGATCAGAATAGCTGACGTCGCGGCAGGGCGGAGTGACGAGGTGAGTAAATCCTCCTCTGTCCAAAGCTTTTGAGCAGCTGTAAGGTACGCCGTTATGTCTCGATCACCCTGTTCCAATTTATCGAGCGCCACCTGCACTTCGAATTGGCGCGCGGCACTAGCGGTGGAGTAAGTGGCCGCCAATTGCTTCCCCATCTCGTGAGCAGTCTGGTGCATACGAAGACTCAAGCAAATATTCGGATCAACCGAGTCCAGGATCCACGATCTTACCCGAGCATCGTTCATGTTCCAGCGCGCAATCTGCTCGGCAGTGGCCGTAGAATCTGGCTTCGGATCAGTTCCATCCAGGACCCCAACGAGTCCCTTCCCTTCAACACGAACACGAAATTGAAATTCCCACAGCATGTAGTTCTTCGGGTTGAGCCGAATGGACATTCTCTCGGAATCGGCTGCCGAAAGCTCTGATACCATGTTAGCAAAGCTAAATAAACCGAAAACTGAATGAGATGAACACACGGATTTAACGTGGTATCCCTGGAATGCCAGGACTAATCAACGGGAGAGGTTCACTCTCCAAGATGAAAATCGTACTATATTAGCTTGGGTTTCTCGGCAGAGTACAAGAGAATATATATATGGTTTGTAACCCTAGCATCCCTACGTCTGCATGCCTAGGGTTGCATGGGCTTGGGCCAACATTCACTCAAATCTCCGTGACCCATTTTGACGACCCAATGTACACTAACAAGGAGACCCACCAACGGGCGAAAACATAGCCTGGAAATGGCTGGAAATCGCAAAAGCGTGAACGAAAAGAGATGAAAACAGGCAAAGCATAAAGAAAAACGAAAGAAAAAGGGAGGAGGGCTGCCGCCGGAAGGACGCCGACAACAACCCCCACTCTCGTCTGAAATGGAAGCGCTAGAGAGAAGACGGAGAAAAAGAAAAAGGAGAGAGAAGTGTGTTATCCTAACTTGGTGGCTTAACCTTGCCTTTTTTACTGGAAAGGGTTAAGGTTGATGATGATGTTTGTGGGATTTATATAGAAGTTATATGAACCAGGATAATAAGAGGGGGAGATGGGCGGCGCTAGTTGTCACCATGGGAACGTCCAAACACAGCAATATAATGAGGTAAGGACTTTCAGTCAATGGCCATTTAATCAATGATAAGGGGGATTAGAATTAAGCTAGGCTACTGGTGATGGACCACGTTGAGTGATTGGGGGATTTACAAGATTTATTCATGTATCATGGGTTACTAATGAAGGATGGCACAACTTAATTGACTTTACAGAGAGTATTGGAATGCCATCAGTGGGTGGCTTGTTTGTTGCATATGCACATCGGGTGGCGACGTGGTGGTGTGCGGATTTGATGGTAGGTCAAGCCGCTGGACTCGAATAATAAGGTGAGTGTAAAAGGGGTAAATTCTACGCCTTGCATATTCTTTTAAGTATTACGATTTTGAGTATTTTAGCAAAGTGGTTACCGTTGCTTGATTATGGTTGATGATATGTGCCTTGTTTGAATTATGACTTGAAGTGAATAGTTATTATTTACTTTGAAATTTTCCTGAGTATAAGCTATTGTTAAAGTTTAATAAACAAGTTCTTTTAAAGAAATAATTCACCTTCAAGAAGGTGAAGTCATTTTAAGTGCTTTTAGTCGCTAGCGCCAGTCCGTTGCCGTATGAGATTTTCAGATAGAGCAACAGTTATGCTCTTGAGATCTTTGAGACAGAGCAGCAGTTATGCTCTTGAGATATTTAAGTTGAGCAGCAGTTATGTTCTTGAGATTTTTAAGATGAGCAGCAGTTATGCTCTTGAGAATTATGGAAGAAGAGCCTTCCACGATAAGTTTAAGTTTAAGAAAAGCCTGGATGGCTTCTCAAACGTATGAGTTGGCAACTGGACTAGCTAGTGAGGGATCCCCATGTCAGTCAAGTATTTAAGATAAGATTTGAGCTTTAAAAGAGGAGAGTAACTTCAACTCCCTCAAGTTTAAAAGTTAAGATTTTAAAGTTTATAGTACAAACAACTTCCTCCAGTTAAAGTTAGGTGTTCAAGTAAAGTACTCAAGTATTAGAAGTATTAAAACGTAAGGGCGTAGACTGACCCCATCTCACTCACCAGTTTGAAGAGCTAGAGGATTAGAGGAGCAGTTAGAGAGCAGCGAGTTCGAGGGCAACCAACTAGAGGAGGATAGTATAAGCATCATGGAGGATGTTTAGTCAAGGTTTTCAGTAGCAACATCATTAGAGATTATTAGCTATTTACATTTGTGATTATGAGTATAGACTGGAGATCAAGTTGAGTTTTTAAAGTTTGAGTTAAGTTGCCCATGTGTTAGGGCATTGCTTTAAACTACAAGTGGGTGTTTACAATATTTTTTTACGAAAATTTTTCCCGTTGCAATTTAAGATTTGAGTATTTTATTTATCAATGGCATTTTAGTAAAATTAGTACCCGGACGGGTTAGGGTGTTACAAATTTCCTATATTTATCATCGTGAATCTAATTTTTTAATTATGCATGTAATTTATACTTATTAATGTATTTGAGTTAATTATTTATGTTTTATGAGCAAAAGGACTTTTCAAAGTGGACACTGGAAATGACTCTAAGTTGAAGCATTGTTGGGATATATTCCAATATTGTTTGAATTTTATGCAACAATTTATTACCCTCGTATCATCCATTCCACTAACGGATGGACCTTCAATGATATTTTGATCTGGGCAAAGTGATAGCCCCGACGTTCAAGAAAGTGTGACTCCTTTTCCGATCAATTGTCCTGAAGGTCAGGATAAAAAAAAGGTACGCCATATTCTTCATCATAGAGTTGGGACAAAAATATGACCAATGTTAGCACTCGCTAGAGAGGAACGTGCAGTTGCGAGAGAAGCAAGGGAGAGGAAGAGGCATGAGATGACGTTAATGTATATGGATCTTTCTCAATATATTTCTTTGGAAAGTTCAAGAGACAAAGAATCAGGATACTCACATGCTTCCTCTATACTTAGTCTCTCATCGGAACTAACGCTCGCTAATAAAGCTTCATTAAAATTTTCCCAGTTATCCCCAATAGCGGATGCATCACCCATAACGCCTATAGGTTTTATGTCCAAGCCAAGCGTAGCATCAACCAGTTCAAGCAAACCATCCCTAGTTTGACCTAAGAAAAAACGACCATCATCTTACCACGAGCCCCCAAAGTCCATACCCACTCCATTCAGATCCCATTCAATATTAGACACACTAAAGGGAGAGAAGAGATTCAGATTTAGGATACCTTGTGTGACAACAATGATTGGATCTGTAATCGTGTCCGATGAGTCAAGGACAATAGCTACTGCGGGGTTAACGCCAACTGCAGTAGAATCAGATCCGACAGTGGGGTAGCCGGTTGCGACGTCAACAGAGGACCCAATAGTAGGGTCACCGACAGTAGTGGTTTTCTCGCGCGGAGAAGGGTTGGCATCAGAGGAAGGAGGAGTAGTGCTGGAATCTCCTCTGGGCATTGTAAGGTAACGCTAGAACTCATAATGGAAGGGATATGGTGGAAAAGTAATATAAATCGTTGAGATGATGGCAGCGATTAAAGGCGGAAAAAGAAAGACGAATAAAAGAGTCAGAAAAACGTACCAGTGTAGACGACTTTTTTTGACAAAGAGGATTTTATTGCACTTCAAATTGATCAGTTACAAAGAGGGAGAACGAACCAACAATCTGGTTCCAACAAGAGGAAGCCCAAAGGCATCCGGTTACAAACAACACCGTGAATGACAAAATACAGCAACAGAGAACAAAACACAGTCTGCAAGCAACCATCCTGAAAGAGCAAAACCCTTGACCGAAAACAGATCATCATGAATCTCTCTAGCAAACAACCAATCAAAGTGCAACAAAACCAAATCAGCTTGTCCGATCATATCGAAAACCATGGAAGTTGAACATCATCACTCCATGTGCCGCCTCCTGGGGAAAACTCAAAGGCATCCATCACAGTGAATCTAAAAACTAGACTGCATGGCGGTGGAAGAGGATATAACCAGATTGCTCCAAGCTGAAGAGGCTGAGGCAGAGGGATCATGTTCGAAGAAGAGCAGAAGCTCCCAAGGTTGCCACAACCCTCCACGAAGTCAACGAATCCCAACCGCAACCACCGGAGAAGACCCAACCCACCACCATCCGACAGCTCACCAAGCCACTCAGACACCTAGGGAGGTCGGAGAGGGAAAAGAAGGGGATGGCTTCACCTTGAAGATGAGGCCACCAGCGGGGGACAACCCCACCATCCAGATCTGGACGAGGCTCCCAAGATGCATTCTCCAGCTCCAACGACGACCAAGCCCAAGAACAAAGAACCAAGATCTGAAAGAAGAGCCATAGCTCAACTGGAAAGGAGAAAAGGAAATCCGATTGAAAAATGCCCAAGAAACAGGCAAGAGCACAAAAGCATGAAAAGGAAACAAAAGCAGGAAAAAAAAAAGCTTTGGGCTACCGCCGGTCACCTAAAAGGAGCCGGCGGCAGCCCCCGCGTTCAGAAACCGAATGCTGGAAGAAGAGAGAAGGCAGAGTTTTTTCCAAAAGGGAAAGGTAGAGAGAGAGGGGTTCGACTTTTTTGCAGTGTAGACGACTTCATGGTCTTTTAAAGAAGAAGGATGAGAAGGAGACTGCTGAAAAGACCCTCGCGTGAATTGAGGAGGCTATATAGGGAGTAATGATAAAAATAATTCAAAAAATCGAGCGGTCATAGTTTTCTAGAGTAGCGGATATAACGTACTGTCAGAGGCACGCGAATGCTTACCACAAACCCTTAAGCCTAGGCGTGGAAACCTTGGTTTCGACGGTGGGGAGAGGACTGTCCTTGGTTCAGTTCCAAGGTTTATGAAGCATACCCACCCCAGGCCTAAGGACCAGCCGCCAAAATCTAA